TTTTCCCATTCCTTTCTTTGGAATGGCACAGATAAGAATTTCTTCCAATTGGCTGGCCAGGGAGCTGTCTTCCACATTTTCTGGCATATTGACGAGAGAGTACTTATAGCCCTGCATCGGTTTGGTGAAACTAATGCTACTTCATTAATTCTTGGAGTCCTGTTTGTCGATAATGCCTTCAGCCCAGCTTCGAATTCTTCCTTTAGTAATTGATCCGATGTTACCTCTTGAAACGGTTGAACGTTGACCAGTTCTTAATGGTACAGTGACTGTCTACCCCGCCCCCCGCCCCTTTTTGACGCTTCCTGAATCCTACATTTTGTTCACAGAATCCATTCATATAGAAACTGCAAGCTTGCATTTTTTCTTTAGTTCCGCAGTTGGAGATTTGGTTTGGTAGCGCCAGGTCTGCGTCTTTCATTATAAAGCCTTATTCCCCTGAGGTGCTTTGTGGAGCTTTTTGTCCGTCTCTCAACTCGGTCCATGTGCTTCTGCTATTCTGTGTTGAAGAGTGTGTCTCGGAGTCTCATCCGACAGCCACTTGGGTCTTTTCTTTCTCGATGTCATCCCACAGCCTGTCTGGCTATTGGACATCAGCGTTCTGTGTGTCGAATCTGATTTTGAGATGGAAGGTGGCGTTTGCTGTCAAGGCTCGTTTCACTTTTCTTTAGCTCCAACTCAGACTTGGATATGAGAAATTGATGGTCTGCTCGATAGTCAGTCCCGGGCTCTGTTTGGAGTTTCACCTTGAGCGTCTCAGGAGTCTCTTCCCGCAGACGGAGTCAGCTTGGTTCCCAGGCGTTTCCCCTGGCAAGGTCCGTGAGCATATGCAGTCACCATTGCCACTGTCGAGAAGACGGGCTGTGTTGGAGTCACCGATCTTGCGGAGTTCTGTCATGTGACCTCCAGCTTCGTTTCTGTCCACAAGGCCATGTTCTCCAACTACCGATCCTTTGTTTCTGACTTTGACAGTCTAATCACCAGTAATTATCAGTTGATTGCATGTTTGATCAACTTCAGAATAAAGTTGGTAGACTTCAAATTTCTCCATTACTAGCTTCAGTGCTTGTTGCATAAATTTTAATAGTTGTGTTAAGTGCTCTTCCTTATAGGCCTATAAGTATTATCCCATCATAAACAGCAGTGAACTTCAAGATCTTGGAATGTTATTTTTGACATTTCTCTTGAATTTTTAATGCTTGGGATTGTAAGCCACATAATTATCACATTCAAAGTGGCCAAATGCCAGTCCACATCAGCTCACTAATGCCTAGAAGATCATCTTTATGCCTTCCATTTACTTTGTACACCTTCCTCTTTTCCTAGATTCATACTGCCTAGACTCCACGTTCTGATTATTAGTAGATGTTTGCCGTTGCTTCTTCTCATTTGGAGTTGTCTTAGCAGCAGAGGAAGGTCTCAGCAGGTCTGCCCCATCACCATCAAGGTCGGTGCTGATTTGAGGAGGCAGCTCTTCAGTTGTATTTTGAGCACCTTCCAATCAGAAGCTTCGCAGGAGAAAGGCGAGGCCTTCACCTCCCAGACAGCGTTGCCGTCTCAGAAACCCACAGAGGCAGTTCTCCCTTGCCCTATAGCAGTAGTTCTCAACCTGTGGGTCGTGACCCCTTTGGGGTTGTCAAATAACCCCTTCACAGGGGTCACCTAAGACCATCGGAAAACACACATTTCTGATGGTCTTAGGAACCAAGACACCGCTTCTGTATCCGTCTCCAGGTGGGTCCACTCACATGTAGGTCCACCCACATACAAGTACCCAGCGTGAAGACTGTTAGCCATGCTACACCATGCTTCAAGTTAAAATTTCATCTATTTGTAATTAGAAATATTTACATATTATATAATAGAATTTATTATGTAACAGATTACATATTGTTTTGATTAATCACTAGGCTTTAATTATGTTCAATTTGTAACAATGAAAATACATCCTGCATATCAGATATTTACATGACGACGCATAACTAGCAAAATGACAGTGATGAAGTAGCAACCAAAATGACGTGATGGTTGGGGGTCACCCCAACATGAGGAACTGTAAGAAAGGGGGTGGCGGACGAGGAAGGTCGGGAACCCACAGGCAGAGCTCCCTTGCCCCGCAGGGTCTCTGAGCTGGAATCACCTCCGGGCAGTGAGTGAGCACAGCCTGCAATCAGACAGGGCTCAGCTGCTGTTCATGAAGGTGTTCAGCGACACACATCTCAGAAATGGACCACCTGTTCCTTTTCCTAGTCTTCCTCCCAAAGCCCCCTGGAAACCTGTCCACCATGGATGCCCCTGCTGGTGTTTAAAATATCGGTTGCATAGCTTCAAGCAACAACATGCAACCCACCGTGACAGGACACTACTACGGTTTTACTGGCCACCTTTAAAATCCCGTGGCCTTTACTCGTTATGCAACTCTAAACCTTCTTCCACATTTTGGCCTCGGTGAGAGCTGCACCCCGTTCTTGTGACTGCATTCTACCTTCGTTATTTTTTGCTCTGCAGCAGAAACCACGAGTGGATGGCTTTCACAGACATTTATTCTCTTGCAGCAGAGGGCTGCCTCTGAGGGAAGGCTCTGTTGGCTCAAGAGGAAAGTCCTTCTTTTCATGTGACTTAGTGTCTCCTTTCCCCCATCTCCTCTTGCATGTTTAATCGATGATGTCTGAAGATACACCTACACTAATCCTGGCTCCTTAACTCCAAATGGGGTAACCGCCACACGCGTAAAGGTTGGGATTTACAGCAGCATCGTGTTTTAGGGACACAATATGTAGTAAGATTTAACTTTTTATTGCTAAGTCTCGATTTTTAAGGAGGGGGTGTCTTAGCAGGTTTCTGTGGGAAGCAATTTGGGACATGCTGAAGCAGGAATTAAAAAAAATCATTTTATTGGGGGCTTGTACAACTCTCATCACAATCCATCCATCCATCCATTGTGTCAAGCACATTTGTACATTTGTTGCCATCATTCTCAAATCATTTTCTTTCTACTTGAGCCCTTGGTATCAGCTCCTCATTCTTTTCGCCTCCCTCCCTCACGAACCCTTGCTAATTTATAAATTATTTTTTCATGTCTTACACTGACTGATGTCTCCTTTCACCCACTTTTCTGTTGTCCATCCCCCAGGGAGGGGGTTATATGTAGATCCCTGTAATCAGTTCCCCCTTTCCAACCCACCCTCCCCTTAACCTTCTAGTATCGATACTCTCATTATTGGTCCTGAAGGGTTTATCTGTCCTGGATTCCCTGTGTTTCCAGCTCTTATCTGTACATCCTCTGGTTTAGCTGGATTTATAAGGTAGAATTGGGGTCATGATATTGGGCGGGGGTGGGGTACTCGGAGGAAGCATTTCAGAACTAGAGGAAAGTTGTATGTTTCATCGTTGCTACATCGCATGCTGACTGGCTCTTCTCCCTAATAGCCTTTGTAAGGGGATGTCCAATTGCCTGCAGATAGGTTTTGGGTCTCCACTCCACACTCCCCCTCATTCACAATGTTAAAATTTTTTGTTCTTTGATGCCTGATGCCTGATACCTGATCCTGTCGACAACAACCTAGTGATCACACAGGTGTGTGCTTCCATGTGGGCTTTGTTGCTTCTCAGATAGATAGCCACTTGTTTATCTTCAAGACTTTAAGACCCCAGCTATCTTTTGATAGCCGGGCACCATCAGCTTTCTTCACCCCATTTTTGCTTATTTACCTGCTTTGTCTTCAGTGATTGTGTTGGGAAGGCGAGCATCATGGAATGCCAGTTTAATAGAACAAAGTGTTCTTGCATTGAGGGAGTACTTGAGTGGAGGCCCAATATCATCTGCTACCCTAATACTAAACCTATAAATATATGCACATAGATCTATTTCCCTATCATATAGAAATATATTTACATATGTACATGCCAGTATTTAGACCTCTATACATGCCCTTTGCCTCCTAGTTCTATCCTCTATTTCCTTTGACTTTCCTCTTGTCCCACTATTATGTTCGGCCTTCATTTGGGTTTTAGTAATTCCTCTCGGTTACATTGCCCTTGATCAAGCCCTATTAGGCCTCCTATACCCTCCTCGCCATCGATCTTGGATCACTTGTTCCCTTATCCCTAGGTTTGTTAACACCCACTTTCTCCCACCTCCCCTTTTTCCATGTACCCCCTGAACTGTCAGGCCTGTTGTTTTCTCCTCCAGATTGTTTATCCCGTCTATCCCGTCTATCTAGATAGACTGAAGCAGGAATTTTTGATCTGACCAGCCATAAGGTTTTTGGCTTTAGCCTTTGAAAACCACTCTTAAATATATATTGCATTAAAACAGTACATGGATTCTCTCAGGAAGCAAGATCCTGAAATTGTTCCTATTATCAAACATCTATTTAAGTATGGGTCAGAAGTTGGTTGGAGGTGTTTTGGTTTTTTTTGGTGGACGGGGTGGTGGGGGGAGGAGGAAGGCATTGACAGTGTTGGTCATCCTTGAGTTTTTCTGTCACTCGCCATTTGCTTCTGAAGTGGGGTTGTGAGAGAGAGCAAAGGCCTTATTGTATGATTTAAAAATGAGATCTAATAAAGATCTGCAAGGCTGCATATGAAGAAAAGATCAGTAAGTGTGTGCATACGCATGCATCTTGAAGCACTGGGCAAGGACAGGCTGTTGGCCTCACAACATGTGTGGTGGGCACCCTTTGGCATTGGCAGCCGTGAGTGGGTCTCTGTGTGACCCCAAGGCCACACGTTGCTGGCTAAGAGGCACGTCTTGTTAAAGTCAACACCTTTCCGTGGAGTGAGTCTTCAGGACATGGCATATTTTCACCAGGCTTATCATATCTCGTTAGATTAATTTCCTTTTGGGGTGCTTTTTTCCTTCCCCAAAAATGCATTTCCAGAACAGAGCTCTGTTCTGTTTTTCTACTTTTATCCACTTCCCACCTCTACTGTAAAAAATAAAGATGTTCTTACACTTCTCTGGCTCTGCCCTTGAAATCGCACTCTCTCTCCTGCAGGTTGCCGACTTGGGTTGTGGCGACACTTCGCTTCTATGGATGCTGAAATTCCACAAGTGCATCGAACTGCTTGTCGGAGTAGATATCAATGAGGAGAAGTTGCAGCGGAAAAAGTAATAATCTAGTTTCCCGAGGGGCCTATATGTGAACCAAAAGCCAGTGGCGCTGTTAATTCTACTCAGAGAAAGTGGTATTTTATGCAGGCAAAGAGTGGGGGCTGGGGAAGAGCCATGGGTCCACTACATAATGAAGCTGACGGATTGTTGGCTTGGTTCGTTTTTACTTTCTCTACCAGCTAATAAATGAAGTTGTGCTGTAATCCAGGATTGCAAATCCAATTTCAAACTCGCTTAGTGGCAAAGCCATATTCCTTGAATGCCAGACACCTGGAGGCTTTACTGCAGAGGCTTTTGAACTGCTTAGCTAAGCGCTGGGTCGCAAAGTCTCTAAATCCCCCGCTCCGCTTTGAACCAGAGCAGCGCACCTATCTCTTCTCTACATACACAGGGATTTCAACAACGTCGGGGAACAGTAGAGTTACAAAACAACTGTTACTTTTTTCCCCTTGAACTTTTTGAAGCCAGGTTGATCACAACTCCTGGTGACCCCATGTGCGTCAGAACTGGGAGCCGTAGGTATTCAAAGGCCAGTTTTTAGCAGCAGACTGCTAGGCCCTTCTGCTGAGGTGCCCAGCGGGTGGACTCGAACCTTTAGCCGTTCAATTAACAGTCAAGCACACTCATCATTTGCTGCACCCGGCAAGACTCCTCTCTGTGTTAAATGGCTACCTATTGTTTCAAGCATGGCTTTTCTTCTAAAGAAGTTGAAAATCAGTGACTAATGAAAGTGTGAAAACTGAGAGCAATGTCAGTTATTTATAGCCATAGCACTTTAGAATCTTGTTGGCTGGGAACTCCCCAGTGGGGGGCAGACGTGGGAAATAAGCCCTGTCAGAGTTCTGTCGTGTAGGTTGGAGGCGATGAGCAGGTTCAGAGTGCTGGCACCTGTGAGCTGTTTTTCAGAGGGCTATTGTATCCCAAAGTCTGATTTTTGCAACTCTGCTTTTGCAGGTATAAGTTGTCTCCCCTGATCGGAGACTACCTGAAGCCCAGGGAGAAGACGTTGACGGTCACCTTGTATCATGGTTCTGCTGTGGAGAGAGATGCTCGTTTGCTCGCATTTGACTTGATAGCATGTGTTGAATTGTAAGTACTCGGGGGACACAGTGCGTGTCACTGTGCATGAAACCGGAATGCGTGTCGGTGAACTTGGTGTCCTACGAGCGCAGGTGTTGATCTTCATTCTCGTTTCCTCTTGGGAATGCATTCTCTGTACTAGCGTACTCCAAGGTTTTGTTGGGGATCATTTCAAACTTGGAGCGTTGCAGCAGTAAATAGTGTCAAGGACAATAACATCCAATAAGGATTCACTTACTGTCAACATTTTCCCCATTTTAAAAAGCCATTTGTAGGAGTATGCATATTTGCTCATTTTCTCTCTCACAC